TGGGGAAGGGGTGGAAGGAGGCTGGGAAGGGAAGGGGGCCTGAAAAAAAAAATTAAGTCAACTGCTTCTTCAACGAAATAAAAAAATTTTAAACTTTAAAACGAACTTACGGGAGCTGATGAATCCCCGGACTCGCCTTGGGTCGCCTTGGGTGCACTGCAAAAAATCAGTGTCTGATACGGGTCATGCTACGGTGTTCCGTATACCCCCTGAAATGGTGATACGGACCCGCCGTACCACTCTTTCCATAAGAGCCTGTGCTTTGTAAAGCGTGCTACGGAAATTTAACGGAAAATGTACCGCAATTTTACACCGGAGGTTGCCGTTTCGGTTTTCCGTTTGTGAAATAGTCCAAATGCTCTACGGACAGTGGGGAACGGACACTCCGTAACTCAAATTTCTATAACGGATAACGTGTAACGGCCAGTCCGTATCCCTACGGAGTGACCGTTTCATGCGTTTCGTCAGAGAACTTTGCGTTACGGAGCGTCCGTTCCTCACTGTCCGTAGAGCATTTTGGACTATTTCACAAACGGAAAACCGAAACGGCAACCTCCGGTGTAAAATTAGCGGTACATTTTCCGTTAAATTTCCGTACCACGCTTTACAAAGCATAGGCTCTTATGGGAGAAGTGATACGGCAGATGTCCGTATCACCATTGGGGTATACGGAACGCCGTAGCATGATCCGTATCTGACACTGATTTTTTGCAGTGTGGTCTCCTGGGTGACAGGGTCCTCGCTTCCATGGAAGACTTCCCCCACAGCGGCTGACTCTTCAAAGCTGGAGTTGAGAAGATTCTGCAAACAAGAAAAGACAGAATATGAAACTAGAAAGGTGATATTAATGAATGATAAAGCTTTTTTTAAAAACCACGAACTTACTATCATGGCGTTGTAGGCGTCATCCTCAAGGGAGGCAGCGCTCCAGCTCAGCTTCATCAGATCATCAAAGTCTTCCTCGCTCCATTCAGGGGGAGGAGTAGGCGGAGGGGTGAGGGCGTCGACGTCAATCGAAGCAGGGGACGGGGGGGGGGGGGGGGGGCACTACCCCAAAAGGGAGCTCCTCCAGGTCGGTGGAGGGACGGAAGAGGGCGGTGGGGTGGATGGAGGTGAAGCGGCCGTCTTCCCGGCTGCTTTGGCCTGGGCTGGGCTGGCCTGGGCTAGGGTGGTCTTGGGGCTGACGCTGGGGCTAGGCCTGGGCCTTGACCTTAGCTTCGGCGTTGGCGCGGGCGTGGGCATTTGCTGTGCGGTTTAACCGCACTGTAATACAGTGCCGCGACTTTCGACCAGGGCGCCGCCACCAGGAGGTGCGTCGCCATTGTCAGCACCGGCCAGCAGGCGGGGGCCGCCGAGCGCGCGGACCTCCCAAGCGTCAACAATACGCGGCCGTCGCGGCGGGCGGGGGGCTCGAGGCGGTCGCACTGGCCGATGCGGCCGATGTCGCCTACACGCAGAGCTTTCACGGCACGGCATAGCCTTGTCTTAACCACAAAAGTGTGATCAAAGGTCACACGGAAGGGGACGGAATGGGACGATATCTGATGGGACGAAGGAGAATGGGACGGAATAGGGACCGAAACTGTGACGAACACACGCCTTCCAATGGGACGGAAGGGGACGGTATGCAATGGGACGGAAGGGGAGGGAATGGGACGGAGGAAGGTCGGAAACTGTGACAAACAGACGGCATGCAGTGGGACGGAATCGAATGTGACGGAAGGGGAGAGAATGAGAGGGAAGCCTGGGACGGAACGTGAGCGAAGGAGATGAAAGGGAACGGAATCGGATGGAAAGGGACCTAGCTTAACCTAGGGTGGTTATCAGTTAGTGGTATATCTTTTTGGCGATTTTTTGTTGGTCGCGTGACGAACAGACATGTGTTTCGGCAGGCTACTGAGTGACTACCACCTGCCGGCTATTGCCGGCCACCCTCGCAACAATGTCGCGTAGCAACCAGGCAGCTAGCTCTGACACTGTACATCGGTCCTGTCTCGAGTCATCCACCCATCCCTGATAAACCACTTATTCCCTACCGAGTCTCCTGATTAACATTGGAGTCAGAAGTGGGATGGAAGTGGACGGAGTGGGACGGAATCCCATGGGATCGGAGGGGAAGGTGTAACATCCACTTTGCGTCTGTTACTTGTTTAAATTTCCCTCTCTACTACTGCCCTCTGAATTTTCCATATCTCGTTCCGTTTCGATCTTCTTTTCGACTTGGGTTCGTTCTTTACTATTTTTCATACTGTCTCCGGAAGTTTGCGCCCTTCCGTGTTTTCTGTGTTCTGTGATTCAGCTGTGGACTTTCGTTCTGTTAACAACTTCCAGTGCTCGCTTCGGCGGCCTGGCTAAGTTCGTCATGTAGTCCCACTGTTTCCCTTACCCGAGAGGTCTCATCTAGTTTTAGCAACTTAGTATAATCTGTACTTTGTCCTCGGTGAGTTTGTCCGTGGCCTATTCCACTTTTGCTATCGTTAACTTGGAGGTTATGTTGCCCATGGTTTGCCATGCTTTAGCTTACTCCTTGAACTCCTGTATTGTGTATTTTCAGGGTTTTGTATTTGGTTCGTCACACTGTGCGTTGAGGCCATTCTCCGCCATGTGTTCCTTCACTCCGAGATCTGGACCTGCAAGCTTGTGTAGTGAAGTGATTTGGATATGGACAAATCTTCCGAGTGAGAAGTTCGCAGTCAGTGCTGTGATTATGTGTCTCAGTTATAAGTGTGTACTTCAGTAAGTCTTTGGTTTAGTTTCTTAGTTCAAAGTTCTGAATTGTTTGCAAGTAGCAAAACTGATCTGTTTGAGTCAGGCAGTCTTTTCGTTGAGACACTTTATGAGTTTGTGTTCGCCTGGGTATTGGACTAATCTTGCCCAGTGTGTTTTAGTCATACCTTGGGAGAGGTTATCTTTGCACTCTTCAGTGAACTAGTTAAGTTCTTTTGATTTGATAGAATTTGTACGGTTCTTATTCGAGCTGTTGATATTCTGCTGAAGCCAGTGCCCATGGCGTGCCCGTGCTGATTTTAATTTAGTTCTGTTTGTGATTACCGTTGGTTCGGTTTGATTGTATTTGTGATTGTGTGTATGGATATGAGTATGGATTTGTATGGGCTTGAGTTTTGCCCTTGGTGTGAGTTCTGTGCTTGAGTTAAGCGTGATCTGTCCGTTATTAAAATGGTTCCTGTTATTGTTAAATCGGTGTTGAGTTCAAGTAGCCTATTTCCTTTGATGGTGACTTTGTCGCCTGGCGCCCAAACATTTGCGAGATTAGAAAAGTCAAAGCTGATCACCCTCACCCACTCTGCATCCAAGGCTTGCCGGTGCCTCCGTTTAACAATATTCAGTTTTAGTCTGTCAGTAATTTGTTGGCTACAAAGGAATGGGACGGAAGGGGACGGAGGAGGAACCGAAACTGTGACGAACAGACGCCATCCAATGGGACGGAAGGGGAGGGAATGGGACGGAGGAAGTTCTGAAACTGTGACGAACAGACGGCATGCAGTGGGACGGAATCGAATGTGACGGAAGGGGAGAGAATGAGAGGGAAGCCTGGGACGGAACGTGAGCGAAGGAGATGAAAGGGAACGGAATCGGATGGAAAGGGACCTAGCTTAACCTAGGGGTTATCAGTTAGTGGTATATCTTTTTGGCGATTTTTCGTTGGTCGCGTGACGAACAGGCATGTGTTTCGGCAGTGACGCTACGCGCGTCCGCTCGCTGTTGCTCGCGAACGCGCGGATGTGTCCGCGCGGCCGGAGGTTGCCGTGGCAGGTCCTCCCCGTGGCGCCCCCGTGGACATGTCAAGAGGCCTCTCGACGTGCGGTGCCATGGGGGCCGTCTGTGCCGCCATGACGCCGCCGGGGTTTTCCGGCGCCACGGGTTCCAGCAAGATCCTCCTCGAACGGCAGGCCGTCACCGCGCGCAATGGTGGCCATGATCGGGCAGATGGCGCCAGGTGGCAGCTCGAACCGGGGGCCGCTGCGCACCACATAGTACACCGAAAAGGGGGGCGGCGGAAGCGCCCTCTTTTGTGGTGAAGGGAAGCCGAACGGCCTCGCGGTGGTAGCAGGAAGTGCCGGGGGTCGCGGCACACTTGGATCGTACGGTTCGAGTACAATATATTGACGACAAAGTGCGCCATCATGTCGCTACCCACAATACAGTCCTCCGCAATATCAGCCTCATACCCGTTCCACTTATACAACTTGCCGCCCCAGTCAAACTCGAGGGAGACGGGACCGCCAAGAGGGGCAACGCT